TATATATATTATAGGGGCTTATAATTAAATAAGTTAGGCTTATAGTAAGTCTATAAGTTAAGTTATAAATCTATTATAAGTCAGTAGGGCAGCTTATAGTAAGTTTCTTTTAGTGTGATATAAGTTAGTTTATAATTAGTAAAAATTAGTGGGGCATATATAATATAAGCGCTATATCCTATTTAATTATAATATAATCTCCTCCCTTCTCTTAGTTTTATCCTTAAGACCTGCTTATTTATACTTTCTTTTATATAATCCTAATATATCCTAACTTAATCCTGTAATATTCTTTTTATTCTTCTAATATTATATTAGAATTTAAGGCTACTTATAATTATTATATATAAGCTATTTTAATTAAAAATACCGGTTTCCTTATTATACTATATAGTTATTATACTCCTTAAAAGTTAAAGTATTAGGCCCTTCCTGGCTATAAGCATTATTCTTAATATACTTATTGCAGTTAAAAATATAATAGTAAGGGCATTATTAATTTAAAAGGTTTATTAGGGTTATTCTCTAGTTTATCTTAGGTATTTTACTAATCTTATATAGTAGATTGTTTTATGACTAAAAAACGTTAGCTTAAATATAAAGAAAGGGTTACTAAAAATAAATTATTGCAGTTATAGTAATAGGTTAATGAATATTTAAGTTACTTAATGTATCTTTATTGTTAGAAAAGGCAATTAAATAAGTATAGTTTTAAGATACTTTATTAAAATATTAAGACTCTTAATAAGTTAGAGTTAGTTAAAAATGTAAAGTCTTTTGCTATAGTAGAGGCTTAGCTGGCTAAGGCTATAAATATTATTAATTAAAGTAAGGTTTTTTTTTTTAATTTAGTTAGTAAAACTTCTTTAGAAGTTGCTAGATATTAATAAGGTATTTTAAGGGTTTCTATATATTTTTACTTTTTAGGTAGTTTTTCTACTTAATTAGATATTCTTTCTTACTATTTATTACTTATATTTCTCTAATTTCTTTTACTTTATAGAGTTCTAGTCTATTAATTTCTTTTAATTTATTGCTAGTTTTAATATAAATTATATTTACTGCTAACTTAAGTAGTAAGATATAAAAGACAGGATAAATTCTAACCTTTAGTAGTAGGTTTAGTTTATAGTTATTTATTAAGACTTTTTTTATAATCTTATAGGGTTTAATATATTTAAAGTTAAGTTTATAACTTAATTATTTAGTGGTAATATTTTTTATAGATAGGTAAACTATATCTCCCTCTAAAAAGGTAAGTCTTCTTACTTTTTTAGGGTTATAATACTATTATATCTATTTTCTAATAAATTTAAGTTCTATTTAAAGTTTATTATATAGGTTCTTTAGATTATTACTCTTAAATATAGCTATTAGGTTAATTATTTTAGGTTTCTATATATTATAGTATACATTTAGTATAAATCTAAAGTTAGTATTAGCTAGTATTAGCTATATACTTTTATTATATATAGTATTATAGGTAAGTTAGGTATATAGTAACTTTTTAACTTAATTATTTTACTTATAATTAATATAATACTATAGGTATTATTTTAGTATTTAATTTATATATTCTATTTATCTATCTATTTAGGGTCTAAATGCTATTATAAGCTTATAATTTAGTCTTAAGTATACTATAAGTGCTTTTTAAAATCTTAATATAAATATTCTTTCTCTATTTAAGAGAATCTCTATTAGTATTCTATATATACTGATAATATATCTATAAAAGATATATAAAAGCTATTTAGCGTCTATATCTTCTCTATAGGGTAGGTAATATAAGAACTTTATAAGTTAATTTATAATAATTATAATACTATTATAAAAGATTCTAGTTAAGGGTTCTTTTAATAATAGTAGCTTAGTTATAAAATCTATTATAATTAAGTCTTAAGGTTATTATGCTATTAGTAGTAATTATAGTTCTCTATAAGGTTTATATTATCTAGCCTTAATTTTTACATAAAGGTTATATTATTTAATAACTTTTTCTATTAATTTTCTTAAAATCTTATATTTTTATTATAGCAGTTATTTAAGGGTCTTTATAACTTCTTAATATCTATATATAGGGTATATATAGAAGTCTTTAATAAATTTTTATATATCTCCTAAAGGTTCTTTTATAGTTGCTATCTGTATTTATTCTAGTGTCTGTATTAGTTATATAAACTGGTATTTTCTTTTATTGTTTTTCTTTAGGAGTTATTCTATCGTTTTAACTATATTAGTATTATAATCTGGTCTTCTGCTAATTATATCTGCTTTTCTATTATCTAATTCTTTCTAGTAAATAATTATAAAATCGAATTTATATAGGTATTTAGTATAGTATAATTATTATCGGTTAAGTTCTTATATTATTATAAAGTATAAAATATTTTAGTAGTTAGTATAGACCTTAATCTGGTATATATTTCCTATAAGGTAGTATTTAAATTCCTTAAAGCAGTTAATAATTACTAAGAATTCCTTATTATAAATAAGGTAATTAAGTTCTGCTTTATATAACTTATATAAGTAGAATATAATAGAATATAGTTTGCCTTAATTATTATATTAACTAATCTATCTTTTTAATATAAAATTTAATAAATTAGTCTTAAGTTCTATTTCCTTATTAGGGTTAAATATAATTAATATAGGTTTACTAAGGATTATATCTTATAGTTATTTAAATACTTTTTAGATATTTAATGCCTAAATAAATTTTTATTTCTTTTTAGTAAGTTCTATTAGTAGATTTACTATCTTACTAAAATCCCTAATAAATTATTAGTAGTAGTTAATAAAACCTAAAAAGCTTTATACTTTTTTAACTGTTTTAATTATAGGCTAATTTACTACTATTAAGATTTTCTTTTATTCTATCCTAATTTCTTTAAATATAATAATATATCTTAAAAAGTCTATTTCTTTTATATAAAAGTAATTCTTTTTTAATTCTATTAATAAGTTAGTATTTTATAAAGCTTTTAAAACCTTATAGATATATTTCTTATATTCTTTTTTATTATTTAAGAAGATTAAAATATTATTTAGGTAGTAAACTATAAAGATATTTAAGTACTATTAAAGTATATTATTAATTATCTGCTAAAATATAGTAGATATATTAATAAGTCTAAATAGTATTATTAAGTACTTAAAAAGTCTAAACTTAATTCTAAATGCTATCTTCTATTTATCTCTTTCCTTAATATAAATTAGGTTATAGGCTCCCTTTAGGTTAAAAGCAGTAAAGATCTATTTTTCTTATAGGCAGTCTTTAAGTTTTATAATAAGTAAAAATAAGGTCCTATCCTTAATAGTAAGGGCATTTAACCTTCTATAGTCTATAATAAGTTATAATTTTCTATTTTTTTTAAGAATAAATATTATTAGGAATTCTACTAATAATATAGATATCTTAATATTTCCTTTTATTAATTCTACTTTTAGATATTCTTTTAGGGTATTAAGTTCCTTTTTATTAAGGTTATAGATCTTTTAAAGCGATAAGTCTTTTAATTTAAGCTATATTTTATAGTCTTAATGGCTATATTATAGTACTTTTATTTTAAGTTCTTTATTAAATAGTTTCTTATAGATATAGTATTCTTTTAATATATTTTTAAGTTAGTCTTACTATTCTTTTTTCTTAAATTCCTTTTATATTTATAGTTAGTTATTTAGGCTATATAGTTATATTTTAAGGAGCCCTAAGATTTATTAATTTTATTATTTTTTGCCTTTTATATACTTATACTTAACTCCTATTAGAGATAGTAAATCCTTTATTTTATACTTACCTATACTATCCTTATTAGTTAAGGTATAAGATCTTATATTTATTATAATTATTTTATTATTACTGTTAGTATTACTAGAAAAGGTAACTTAGCCAGTCTTTTAGTTAATATAGAGGTTCTTTTTTTATAGCTAATTAATATCTAGAAGGATATTAACTTCTTAATCTAAAAGAAAGATATTAAAGTCTATTCTTTAATTTTTTCTTTAGATAAAGACCTTAAGGTAATTAATCTCTTAATTAATAATTCTATTATTATAATTAAATAGTTAGCCTTTTATATTAATTAGTAGGTAGGGTTTTTATTTCTTTCTTTATAGTAGTTATAGCTATATAACTATTTTTAGATTAATAAAATTTTATTTAGCTCTATAATTAATTTATATATTTAGCTATTTCTCTTTAATCTAAACTTTTAGTATTAGATATTATAGTATTAGGTCTTTATATAGTTCTAAAGCGTTTATTAGTATAAGTTATTTTTGCCTTTGCTTTTTGCTTTTCTATTGCTCTGCCGTTATAGGAAGTATATGGCTTTTCTTAAGCTATTAAGGTGTATTAACTTACAGTCTTTATTATTGTATTTAGTGCCTATATGATATTCTATATTATCTTTTAAGTTAAACTTATTATTGCTTAGATATTGCTATAGGTGTTTTTTTAATTCTATATCGGTTTCTATTAGGTATATTTATCTTTATCCTAAAGGTATGCTTTTTAAGTATAGGCTATCTACCTCCTATTATCTTTACAGTTTTTTTATATCTTTTAAACTGGTATTATTAACTAATAATTTCTTTAAATATATATACTTTCCTAAAGTAATTTCTTTAAACTCTTTTTCTGCTTTATTAATTATCTATTATAATTATTTAATTCCTTATAGTAGGTTTTTATTCTTATAGATCTATTAGTAGTAAGGTATATTAAATTATATTTCTACTACTTTAAGGTTTTTATACTATAGGTATACTAAGTATCTTTATACTTTTTCCCTAAAGTAAGGTTTATTATTTAGTGTATTAAGTATAATAATTAGAAAATAATTACTATCTAGCTTATTTTATTTATATAGTTTACACTAATAGTTTCTATATAATACCTAAAATACCTTATTGTATTTAGGATATATTAGCACTATTTATAGGTTATCCTTATTATTAAATGCTAGTTTTAGGTATAGTAGGTTTATTACGTTATTAGTATAATAGGCTTTAATATAAATTATTTCTCTTTTATCTATATTCTTATATTCTTTAGGTCCTTATATATAGAAGTTTTTCTATATTTAATATATTTATTTTCTATACTTATTATACTCTAACTAGTATTCTTTAATTTACTTTTAAGCAATCTACTTATCTTTTCTTTATAAATCTTATATATTAGCTTATATAGCTTTTCCTCTATATCCTATAGATTGTAAGCTTTACTATTATCTCTATTAGTGGCATTCTTCTGCTTTAACTTCTTATTTCTATATAGCTTCTCTTTCTAAAAGTGTTATTTTAATAGGGATATTATCTATTAGTCTAGATAGCTAACCTGGTTCTTCTAGGTTAGGGATAATAGTCTTTCCTTTCCTAATAACTTCTAGTATTTATATTTCTCTATATTTTTATTATTTCTTAAATTCTTTAAATTCTTTATTTCTTTTATTTTGCCTTTTTTTATACTATTTCTTATAGATATATTCTTACTTTTTAGGGTCTTATATATATCTATAGTAGTTCTTATTTTATATTTCCCTTTTACGTTTTTTATATTCTTTCTTAATAAGTGTATTATCTTTCTTATATTTAGGTATATAATTTTCTGGCTTAATCTAGGTAATACTTAAGTCTCCATTAAACTATCTATTATATCTGCTTTAGGTTATTCTTAAGGTCTAGGTTCTTATAACTATCTAGGGTTTAAGCTATTATATTAGTCCTAGTGCTTACTTACTG